GTCATTTTGTGTTGGCAACTGCATTAGTTGATGTAAAACATAGGTGAAATGTAATCATTACACTTCCAGTATTCAGACCATAGGACATTTGTTCTGTGAGGTATGACTCAGAACAACGTATGCTGCTCTGAGTCATGAGCAAGGCTCCATGAGTCTACGTTTTTTTCCACAGATGACACTTGCCGAAAAGTTCAAGTTTTTTCCAGTACAAGCATCTTTACCAGACTTTATCATATCTATGATTTCATTGATGGGTTCCAGTGATCCATAGAAATTTATTTAAACAGTTCTGTCAAAAAGTTACAGTCAATTAAATTTGCTGACAGTAAAATCCCCCAGCCAATATCCCCACACTCACTGGTGAACAACCACCCTTCATTACATGATTTATACTGCGAGCTGACGTGGTGGGTGTGATTGTTTAGGTTGTGTTGCTGCAGCGACTCTCCCACACTCCTCTGCAGCTGTTAGGAACATGGAGCCATACACCCACATGCCACCTGGTGAGAGACAGGAGAAAAAAGAAACAGAGCGAGCAGAACAAACAAATGGAACAGCAGTATATAAATAAACAGTTTCTTCATCGTGGAGATAATTCAGATAGGAAATTAATAGGATTTGGTGGTTATGGTCAATCATATGATGCCATCAAAGCCTTGTAAAAAGCTGCAGTTAGGATGTTTGCAGGTAAATAAAAATGGAAGGACTGACTGTTTTCTTACTCCATATGCAAGAGAATGAATATTTTAACCTGCATTTTTCATCGTAAATGATTTTGCTCAAGAACTGAAGAGACAGATCTTGGTTTATTCTTTGACTATGTGAATTAAGTATTTTACTGGACTCAGATGGCATTGTGTTGATTGCAAACAAAGTTAAATTACAAAATCTGACATATTTTGAGTTTATTGAGTAGTAAATGGAGATTTATTTGAAATTGATAAAAAACAGTGTACAAACTTGAGAAATCAATGTTAACAGCAGACCAAGGATCTTTTTAAGTTTGGTATAACACCAGATCTGAGTATCTTTGCATAGACTTCAATGCATTTCAAAGTTTGAGACAAAATCTTGGCAGAATCATCTGGAAAAGCTCTGGGATCAGTGATAAATGACAGGAAATTGTTGCTGACCTTGGTTGTTTAATCTTGACAAAACTTCAACATTTAATGATGGGCTCAATCGTCATCATATGCTGCAGAAGGAGGTTTCCAAGGATTCCCCTAACGAGGATGCTATCCAGAACTGGGCCACGAGATGCTTTCTTATGATGTAGAAATTTACTGCTAAGTGGGCTACTGAAAGATATATGGGATGGGAGTCATGTCTTTTGAAGCACTGGAGAGGACGCGTTCAGCTGCCAGAGGAAGGACTGAAGAAAAGCATCTTTAACTGAAATAGCACACATGCTTATGCTTGGTCAGACAAGTATTTTCCACTGCTGATCTGAATTTTATTCATAGCATAAAGAATGGACAACCACCCCAACCATGGAAGGAAAAGAAAAGGAAAATGGACATTAAAAATAAATACATTAAGATGACTACACAGAACCATATATATGATAATAGGAAAATACAACATTTTTGTTCCTTTTATAAATGGTACTTCACTACTGGCAATTAAGATAGGCATCCTGCCAACCCTGTTAGGCGGGTGTTGGTCCCAGCTGATATCTGGGCAAGAGGCGGGGTTCACCCATGGGCAGATCGCCAGCTTATAACAGGGCCAAAATATATATAGACAAACAACCATTGACACTAGTACCCACAGAAAAACCTACGAAACATAAAAACTCGAAGACCACTGCAGCCAAAAGTGGGTTTCAAACCAGGAAATGTCCTGCTGTGAGGTGACTAGCTAACCACTGCTCCTCCATGCCTCATGGACTCATTTGTTCGACAAGAACCAGTTAAAGAATACTGAAGTGTCTTGTTTGTGTTATACTAATAAGTTAAATTGTTTTTTCGGGGGGAAAAACTTTGGTGAGTTTAGAAGATGTAGAATCTAGAGCTGTAAAAATGTATTTAATCACATTCCACTAAGTTTAATGATAGACACCATCTGTGTGGCACCAAAGACAAAAAGAGACTATTCTCATCACATCAGAAATGAAACTGCAAAAACGTATTAATGTGTCTAGCCAGGAAGCCGTCTCACACATCAATCATAAGTTTGATAGAATAAATGTAACCTTTTCTGTTTTTTCACCTTTTGAGCCACTTGGCTGTGAAGAATCATTTCAACCTCCTGGGTTTTTTAACTGCTGTGTTGTGGTTTGTGTGTTTTCATGTCAAATCCAGCAGATGGATGAAATATCCCAACACCCAAGCACACTGCCCCTGGCCACCATTCTGTCATTGCTCACACAGCGGCCAGAGAAACCAAACACAGGCCAGTGTGGGGAGCATTGTCTAATCAGGATCTGATAACAGAGTATATACATTACAAAACCACCACATATGTTATTTTTTGTTTCCCCTGGTCTGATATGAAGGGAATGGGACTATGACACCAGCTCAGTGGCGTCACAGCTGCTCTGCTGACGTACGTACCCATTCAACACATTCGCTTTCTCATCCCACCCAGACACTTTAACGAATTAGTCTTTCGCTTCACTGTGTCATCATTGCGCCTTATTACCAGGAGTAAACACTGTAATATCTCCATGTCATCTTCAGAAATGTTTCCAAGTCTAATCACGTGTTGTCGTGGTGCAGATAACGAGGAACACATGTTTGGCGGTGCCTAATGTGAATGTGGCTAACATGGGATAGCCGCTGCTTGTTCAGCTTTGACCTCTTTCTGTCTAGCCTAATGATGACTTAGAGACTGAGAGTCCAGAAAGTCACTTCTTGGATGTTGCTCACAATCCTGCCTGCCCTCATGCTTCCGACCCAAAGAGCTGCTATATGTTAAAAGATTCGTACCACCCCGACCACGAGCTGGGAGCGCAACCTACAGAAAGCCAGCTGTGGCTTCGCTCATGGCCCTGAGACTTGGCTCTGACACAGCAGAACTGTGAGGGATTATTTGGGTGGGTCTCCAAAATCCGTTCAGGCTCAAGACATTAAATATACAGTACATCTAAACAGACCAGTACATTCTGTACTCCCAAATTTGCACATACACAGATGCATAGGCGTGTACTGTATTAAGAAATTTGCAATAATGGACACACAGATGTAGACTAAAAAATTATGTCTTGCATAAAAGTACTCGTTTATAGACATTGGCAATGACCGATATGGTTTACATGCAGATAGTCCCTCCTGCTTGTTTCGTGACAGAGACGCAGGTGACCTGTAGTTTAACAATCTCAATTCACTTTAACATTATTGAGCACCAAAGTTAACCCTTGCTGTCTCACATAAGATACACACAGTGGAGTGTTGGAGAAATAAAACCAACTGTTAATGTCTGTATTTCAGGTGTTCTTCATGATTTAAGCTATTTACACTATTGGGTGATACTATTGGGAGCTTACAATGATATCCACAGAGCATCTCATGGTGTCATGGTGCGGTAGGTGATTGTAGCCCATGGCTTAAACTCACAGACTGTGTCTGTAGTATCTGTGCCCTCACACTGGGGCTGTGTATGTTTATAATTTCACCCTGTTTACGGGGCCTTTTGCCCTCTTATGTAACAGTCCCTCAGATCTTCAGAAGATTGGAGGGTCCATGGCAGGGGCAGAGAGGATGTGCCCAGGGCAAGCTGAGACTTTAGAATATACAACTGAGGCCCACCATGTTCTCTGTTGTCGTCTCTGTGGGGTTTGAAGGATTGACAGACGGGGCAGAGGAGAAAGAGAGGCGGAGAGGAAGAGGAGCGTTTTGGTTGTCCCAGCTGTAAAAACTCCAGTGATAGAGTGGTCCAGGGCAGCATCTGCAGCCTGCTGCTCCAGTCCCAGCCTCACCATTTCTCAAAGACACTCCAGACGGCTGAGAAAACGTTTAGGGGAGACCACACAGGGCCCCTTTGCTCAAGGCTGGTCTCAAATCCTTGTCTCTCTCAAGAGTTATACTCTGCTGTCTCTACTCTGCTTCAGCATCAGAGGAGGCTGAGAGAAACACACTCACACAATTTACAGTAAGTGTTGTAATTGTTTAACTGTGCTGAGGCCCGGTTTAGCCGACTTGATCCCTTACCTACTTAGTTAAAGGTGTTTATAACACAAATTTAAACACTTCCAAACAGGAAGAGAGACAGAAGAAATGTAGCTTTGAATGCATGCATAGAATAAATGGCATGGGGGTAAAGAAAGAGAGGGAGTGTAAGAATGTGGGGGAGAATAATAAAGAAAGTGAAGGACGATGAGCCAAAGCGTGATTTGTAGGCAGAGCGTCGTTATGCATCATTTTTATGAGCCATTTACATTTAATGCTCTTGCATCAAACATACATGTAAGCCAAGTAAGTACATGTCACTTCTATAACTCTATAACGTGTGTTCACATGTGTGTGTGTGTAGAAGAGGAAAGAGTTCAGGCCCATTACAGAGTTCAGAGTTAACCACAATTACAACATTTAACTCACAAGCATTAAAACTGATTTGTTCAATTGAAACCTCATAAAGATATTTTGAAAACAAAAAAAATTAAATGGAACATAAAACCAGAATGAGTTAAAGTTAATAGAGTGGAAACAAGTGATGAAACACTGGATGTGATGCACTCACTGAACTCTACTGAGGATAAATGTATAGCTGATTAATTTCAGTGATGTGACCTAAATTTTTATTATTTTTCCTGTATAGCATTTCTCACTGGAACCATTAACTCAGGATAAGTATCTGCACATCAACTATCTTGGGCTTTGTCTCTGCTCATATCCTTTGTTCTGCCCTAAAGGAGAGGAGGGCGTCTTTCCCAAATAATGTGGCAAACGGGAGCCCAGTATAGAGATGGGAGCATGGTGATGGGCTGAGGGGAGGGGAGTGGTCTCAGCCATGCAGGGCTACAATAAAAGGCACTTGTCTGGACCTCTGAGGAACCCAAATTTTCCAGTAGCACCACAGGCGGCTGCTGCACAAAGATAGACAGAGGAAGGGACAGCTAGATGAAAAACTATTAAAAGACAAAAAATATCATTTGGGTTGGGTTTTTTTCAAATTTGACTTTTTAGATAACAGTTTTTTACTTTGTAAGTTTTATATTAATATTTTAGTGAAGAGGGGAAAAAAAGAGAAAATGATGAGTCTGCTGTGCATCACAATAATCTCCTTGACCCTGGCTGGCAGCGCGTACAGTCAGGTGACAACCCCTCCCTTCCAACTAAAAGGTAAGTTCTAAATTCTTTTAAAAAAAATTTAAAAATTGTATATCACTTGTAAATGTATATATCAAAATGTATGTGCTCTGTGCGGTCTTTTGTGTGTGCATGCATGTATATATATGTATGTGTGAATAATTGAGTTTGTGCATGTAAAAATAAAGAGGATGAGCTGTGTTAGAGCTCTGATAAAGTGGTACCACGGTACAGGGTTGTGTAACAACAGGGTCATTGTAGAAGTAGGTAACAGACTCGTCTCTGGGGTAACACACACAGCCACAGTGTGACCCACCATCGGCTCATTGACTTGCTGCATGCAGACCACCACAGCACAGCCAGCCAGCTGAATAAATCCCACTGTCATTCACTGAGGCTCTCTGGACCACACCACTCATTCTACTGGTTCGACTTAAAATGGGTCACAGGTGCCTCAGTGGCTGAAACTAGGCTAGAAGTGCTTGTTCCTTTTCAGATGTAAATCCTTAAAATAGACATGAATTTCTCAAAGCAAATATGTTTTCTGTCATTTTCTGTCTTATTTTTCTTCCTTTGGCAAACTGAACATGAAACCTGAGATATAAGTCTTATCATAGAGCACCTGCACTGCATCAAGGGACCGTTATAATTCAAATTCATGCAGGCCAAACAGGATGAGACACTGAGCAGGTTGCTGCAATTGCCAGTTATGAAATACTAGAATAGATCCACTGCTGTGCGAGAAATAAAAGAGGGGCAGCTGGAAGCCTTCATGTTGCATGTACTGAGTGAAATTTAAAGTGTTTTCAGCAGCTGACTCAGTAGATGTCAAATTTGGGTCATCTCAGATTTCTCTCTTCCAAGACGAGAGGAAATGGCTCGTCAGTGGGGAGAACAGTTTCACTCTGGGACGAGATGATGCTTGAACAAATAGGGAAATTACTCCCATTTGACAGTGATGTCACCGATGTGTGTGCATACATGTGTGTCTGTGAAGTGTATGTGTGTTTATACTGTACATGATCTCACCGTCTACATCATGTGAAAGCTCAGCTAAAGCCAACTCTGTCGCTGTTGCATTGAGTGAAGCTTTTCTTGGCCCTGTGAGCAGTGGATTCTCTGTCTGCTAGCTGGGCGTTGCTGCTGCCTATACGTCCTGACTCACTCTGGCACTGGGAGCTTTTTGGAAAATGGCCACAGTAGCGGGCAGTGTGACGGGAGCGAAGTAAAGATTAACGACCCACAGCCAAACGTATAGAGCCCCATGCTGAACAACATCCAAATGACTCTGTCTTTTCCCCAGGAGGTAATAGCCTGTTAAGTCTAACGCTCACTGTGGTTGTTGGTTACTGAGGCTTGGCACCGTTGCTAGGGGCTGGGTGGAAAAAGGGGCCTGGCTGGAAATTGGCTGAGGCTGGGGACTGAGTAGAAAATGTGATCAGGTTCAGGGCTGAGACATTGACAGAGCCATGTTTAGTCCCACTGCATGTGTGTTGTGTAAAATTGAGGGAAATAAAATGAATCTGCTGTACACGTGTGCTGGGGGCTGCAGATGTGTGATCATGTGAGCAACACACACCCACTCTTTGTGTTTGTTCTGCATGAGAGAAAAAGTTTATAGAACTTAGTGTGCAGGAGTTGGCCAGCTGGGCTTGTTAATACTTTCTCCACATTTAGAGAAGCGGGCCAGCAGACGACAGAGCTGCAGGACATAAAGAAACACATGTCTGGCAGTTCTGTCAGAAGGTGTGGCACGTCGTGCACACACTAAAATACATGTGCAGGGACGGTGCTCTGCATTGAAATCCTCTCCAGCCTTTCATGCACAGTAAAAAATTTATAACAACTTAAATTTCCAAGGTTCAGGAAAATTAACTACTTTCTTGCCAACTTATTATCCTTTATTATGATCATTTACTTTTCATAGTAATAAGAAATAAAATGTTGACTTATAAATACTAAGAATTATAGCATTAAATTGAATGAGGAAATTAAGCTTTTTTGTCATTTAATCAATTAAAGCACAAATTATGTTGAATGATAATTACCAAGGAAATGATATATATAGGTCACTGATGTGGACCACTGTAATGCTGTTAATTTGCAGTTTGCTACATGTTACAGCGAAGCAGATGTTTCCAATCACATGCTAATACAACCTTTTATAGAGTGAGAGAGAATTGTGCTGTGTCATAAAATGGCAGTAGGTCTTGGCTGCAGCTGGGAGTGTTTTTATTGTCATGCACATGTGTTCATTTACCTTTTTACTGTGTTTTCATTCCCAGCTGCAGTTCTCGACGAAATTTCAGATAGAGCCCATTCAGGATTCTGTGACGACCCATTTTAATGTTAAATGTGACAATTGGGCTCCACCTCTGACCTCAGAGAGTCTTAAATAAATAGGTTGTTGTTTGAGGTGCGACAGAGAATGGAAGGGCTTTCACTCTCTTCCTGAAAGGCTAAGTACACACACCAGGCTGTTGCTTTATGAGAGTAGTGTGCCCTAAAATGGTTGGGGCTACATCCTCCTGTGGGACGTGTATCTGCTGGAAACTGCAAGAGCTGGAAAGAGCATGTAATTACTTTTGCCACGACCGTCTCTCTGTCTGCTATTGTCTCTCAGGCCTCATTATCTTAAAGATTGCTTCAGAATATATGAGTTCTTTATTAAGCTTTCATTTAGTGATCCATTAGTAATGAGGTTGGTTAGACCACACCAATTAATTCCAAGCTCTTTTCTCAGCATTAGGTCAGCCCACCCCTCCTCTTGTCTCACATTTCAGGGTTTTGAACCACATCGATATTTGTTTCTTCACAGAACAATGTTGCTATAAAACAGTACAATGAACTCTTTCATTTAATAAACTACATTCTCCTAAGCAAGGTTAGAAATGTGAAAAATAGGCGTCGGCTGGCATCACGTGTTGCTAGGGCTGACGTCGCCTTCACCTTGGCCATAGCTTTTGATTAGTAGCAGTTTAGTCATTCTGGATCCTTCAGGTTTCTATCACACTTAATGCAAACTGCTACTCATGGAGAGAATTTACGAGGCACAGCGCTGCAGTGAGTCATTGCTCGCCGACAGAACGGTCAGAGAGGAATCTTGCCCAGACATCTTTTAAAATCTGTGCAGCAGCGAGACGATCTATAGCTGACCAGTCGAGAGGCGAGTGAGGCTACTGGGTGTGTCCACTGTGTGACAGAAGTAGTCTGTGACCCCTGCAGCCTGTGTGTGTGTTTGAACAGCTGTCTTAGTGAGGACCAGTTTTAGTCCTCACTTTGTGACTCCCCTTTAATGGACTGTTTGGGTGTCAAGACTTGGTTTTATCGTTAGGGTTAGGATTAGGTTTAGGTTAGGTTAAGTGTTAGGGTTAGGCATTTAGTTTGGATGGTTAGGGTAAGGGGCTAGGGAATGCAGTATGCCAATGAGTGTCCTCACTAAGATAGCTGTACAAATATATGTGTGTGTGTGTGTGTGTGTGTGTGTGTGTGTGTGTGTGCGTGCGTGCGTGCGTGTGTGTGTGTGTGCGTGCGTGCGTGTATGTGTGTGTGTGTGTGTGTGTGTGCAGCCTATGAGTTGATCAGAGCAAAAGGCGCCAAGCCAGTGGCTCCTATTATTTCCCACATTGCCCATGTGGGAAACATTTCCCATCTAGGAGCCAACACTGTATTCCAGTCATGGCTCTGCTTTAAGTGAGGCGCCTCAACACAAACTCCTCAGTCGGAGAGCAGAGACACCGAGAGATCTAGACACAGATCATACATACTGAGTAGCTTAGAGAGAAATAAATCAGAAACCGAGCTGCTCAGGATTCTCTCTTTTCTTTAGCGAATCGTAGACATAGCAACAGACATGTAATGGACAGTGGTTAAGCATTGGATGTGGATCCAGCCAAAAACAGCTCAGTTGCATAAGATTAATATGTTATGTCTGCAGACCCTTTGCAGCTATGGAAAGCCAAAGCTGTAAAAGTTGATACAATTGGTTATGTAATCACCATTTTATGTGATATACCATATTAAGTGCAGAGCTTCACTCCTCTTGAAAAGGTTGATTGTTCAAGGGTGGACCTGTGGTGGGGGTCAGGGGTCCTGTATATTCATCCATCTGGTGCTTGTTATTGCCTGGCAAAGGCCACCTCTGGCTGGTAGGGGTCTTCTTAACTAAGCAAGCCCTGGGAGGTCTAAACGTGGACGTGGGACCCCGCGGTGAGACACAGATGGCCTTCCATTTTCAGTCAAAGGGTGGCCTAGTTTGGACAGGGGGGGGATAAGAGGAGGATACTGAGGAAACAAGCAAATAAATGAGGATTCTGTGTATTAATCAAACTGATCAGCCACTAAACTAAAACCAGCTACTGTTTTTAATTTTAATTTACTGATGATTTAGTTTACAAATAAATGATAAGCACTTTGGGGGTTAATGCATGGGAACCAAATGTTTCTAAATGGCAGCGCTGTCAAGGGCAGGAAGGAGACTGAAGAGGATAACTGGCTCCAGGGGCAGAAGTGTGGCTCACGTCCAACACTGTATCCAGTAAACCAAACAGGATACCCCCAGACTCTTTGATACTTGAGTGTGAGAGAACACTTTGACCGTAAGCACATGTGTGTGCATGTGTACATTCCGATAATAAATACAGTATACACATGCTATAACATGCTGTGAACAATTATGAAGAAAAGAAAGACCAACAAAATGCTCACATCTGTGTCATGCCAAAAATCAGAGCAAAAAAATCTCTGGATCCAATCTTCAGAGATAATTATGTAATCATTTTCAGTTCCAATTCGAGTGTCATAAAGGTGAAATCATGACCAAACTGAAGTGAGGTTACATTATGTCATTATATATATTGCATTATATATGTATTATTCTCTTTTCCAGTCGGGGTTTTCGCTGACCTGGGAGCCAACGTCACCCTTCCCTGCATGCTCTCGACCAACACCCCTTCCTTCAGTAACATGGGCATGCGAGTCAAATGGTCGAAGGTGGCAGATGATGAGGCATTGAATGAGGACGTGCTGATCGTGATGGGATTCCACAAGAAGGCCTACGGGAGCTTTGATGGCCGTGTCTTTTTGGAGGAGAGGGACAACAACGATGCCTCCTTAACTATAATCGACGTCTCCATGGAAGACACAGGAAAGTACCGCTGTGAGATCATGAACGGGATGTTCGACACCCAGCAGGAGGTCAGCTTGGAGGTGCGAAAGGGTCTCACTGATGGTAAATCCTGTTTTTCTATATCTGTCTTGTCATTTAGCTCAGGCACAGGCCTCATCTCGTCTCATAGAATCTGCATAGGTGTTAATTCCAATTGGGAAGACAGTGATGTTTATTCAGTATTCACTATTCATTTTAAATGTGTCCTTTCTCTGTTGAAAATGCATGTTTCAATGTTTTTGTTTCTTGAAAACATCCACACCTTCCTTTCTTGAGGAAAAAGAAAAGTCCAGACAGCTTGTGCTGATTTATATAAAACCTCTGTAATGAATGTGTCATGATTACATTTGAATATTGTTCAATAGCAGTAAACAGAAACACATTTAGCATCTTTTGGTTCATATCCTCATGCATTTGACTCATCAGATTTCATTTCAACTGCTTTTGATGCCAGCAAAAAAAAAATAAAAATCTTGCACGGTGACGGATTAAATATTTACAGTATGTCATAGCTCCTCAGACCCAAGAGGAAGCTCCCACCCACATTCTGTTGATAGTGTTTCACATATGTGATGGATCAATGTGGGTGGAGGCATGTAGATAAAAAAATGAAGCAGAAAAATCTGCTTCTTCGATAAAATAATTTTTGGGTTAAAAACAAGTTGATAATTTAATGAGGTTGAACTTGGCATTATGTTTCACTAGAATCATGTTTTACTGATGTACAAATTCACTTTTGAATTATTATTTTACACTTAGTGTTTATCATTAATGCAGCAGAACCAGTTTGCTAGAATTATCTTTTTTAAATCTGGGCTCACTTTTTAAGCAGCTGGACCTGAAAGACTAATACATGAATCACGAACACAAAACTAAACACATCTCATGTCAGCTAACCCGGCTTCCCTAGAGAGGCTGCAGTGGTCTGCAAGACCACACACACTCAAGTACTGAGATGGATAAACCAAACATTTAAGTGCACTGAGGCAATGCTAAAAAGCAATGATGTTTAAGAAAGATATAACCTTTTCTTATCATATTAATTTTATTCTCTCCTCAGGTGTTGTGTTCCCGTACCACCCCAATCGGGGCCGCTACAACTTGAACTACAAGCAGGCTGTGAAGGCCTGTCTACACCAGGATGCCGTGGTCGCCTCCACTGAGCAGTTGGAAGAGGCCTGGAGGGGAGGTCTGGACTGGTGCAATGCTGGCTGGCTGAGCGATGGCTCAGTGAAGTACCCCATCAACACTCCCAGAGAGCTTTGTGGTGGCTCTAACAATGGTCCAGGCGTTAGAAACTATGGCCGCCGCAATAAAACAGTCAACTATTACGATGTATTCTGCTACACTTCTGCACTCAAGGGTGAGGATTCATTTGGTTATGTTGCTCATTGTTCTTGTGGCGTGCTTGCTGCAAGAAACACATTGGCTTTGCAAAATATATGCATATAACAAAACCGAAAGTATTCGAAGTATTCATCACGAATAGAGAGAGGTCTTCAGGTTCTTGATTTGTGTCTCTGTCACCAGGGCGCTTCTATTGGCTGGTGCAGCCTGACAGGCTGACCTTTGATGAGGCCGTGCAGGCGTGCATGGATGACGGCGCAGAGATCGCAAAGGTGGGCCACATTTTCTCCGCCTGGAAACTCGAGGGCTACGACCGCTGCGATGCTGGCTGGTTGGCCGACGGAAGCGTCCGCTACCCCATCTCCAGGCCCCGCAAGAACTGCAGCCCCTTAGAGGCTGCGGTGCGGTCCCTTGGGTTCCCAGACAAGAGCCAGAAGTCTTACGGGGTCTACTGCTTCAAGGCCGAGCAGTGAGAGGGTAGACAGGAGTAGAGAAGCCATAACCACCAAAGAGCAGCAACAACCACAACGATTAAAATCAACAATAAAGCAGATAAGCTTTGGATTTTAACTAGCATGAACTCAATACCTTTCTAAAGCTGTGATAACATTTTTTCATTCCTAAATTCTGTTGATCCAATATTTTAAAGCCATTCCTTTTTTTAACTGTAACTCTGGAGTTAACAGAGTTAATGTACGATTGATGTGACAGAGACAAGAACTTAATGGTCTTGAAACATCATCTAAGTTTGGTTTGTCCTCCACAGAATGATTAGATACATGATGTTCAAGGTTTAAAGCATTAATGCTTGTGTGCGACTATAGAACTTCTAAAGAACAAAACCATGAGTTATTTCATTTATCACCCATCACATCATTGAGAGATCTTAAATTGATGAACATATTTGGCTGCAACTACTGAGCTATGGGTATCAACATGTTATATTGCTGTAAGTAATTGCAGTTTTCCTTTTTTTTCACAATCAAATTTACTGTTTATCAAAAATGAATGTAAATGTCCTGGACTGTGACCTTTTCTCCATGAATCAACTGCTCTCATTTGATCAACACACAATTACATTTTCTTTTTACATTTTTACTAATGTAACCCTATAGATTGTGTTTGTAACAAAAAACATTTTTCTGTCGTAACATCTTTTTTTACATGTTGTCCGCCTCACACTTACAGATTTGTTTGTTAAGTGGAGTTTGTAGACAATTTATATCTAGAACATGCAGCACAAAAAAATGCAGTAAGCTAGTGACAACAGAATAAGAACAGATTTGACCTATTTGCCCTGAACACAATCTTTACCAAAATTCACCTTGGATTGTCTGACAGTTGAAGCCATTGTCTGTTGGGTAGACAAGAAATATAATGTGATAGGTGTCGTAGCCTAAATTAAAGTATGGGCTGACATCCTTACTTATTGCTGAGACTGTTTCACATTTTGATACTGAGCTTTTTAGCTGTAAATGTCCCCTGGTAATCTTTTCTTTTAAAGTAGAATACTGAAGATTGTCTACTCTCCTAAATAAGGATGAATGAACATGTTGTGATGACTGGATCTGAATAGGTTTGAATGAAGTCAAAACCAGCAAAAACTCAATTGAAAATGTCTCTAGTAATGTCCTGTGAGTCTGTTTCCAGCAGCCAAACACACCTGGTAATGGTGAGCCATAACCAGAAGATGGCACACAATATTTTGTGTTTTGCTTTTTGCTACATTGTCTTCTTACTGTTTCTAACATATGGTACTTATGCAGGTTACATGTGGTATTATGGCGATGTATTGTACGTAAAGGTATTTTTGTATCTTATCGCAATGTACCTTTTTCAACAAAACAGTTTCAAATAAAAAAATATAACTCAAAATCAAACGTTTGAAGCTCCTCTTTTATAACAATGAACATTTTTATTTCCACTGAAACCAAACCAGCGTGTACTATGAGCTCATTATGGGATGATACTGAGGTTTAAGCTGAGATTCTAAAAGCAGCATTGTTTAAGTTGCCAAATTAGTGAGGCCATGTATCTGGCATGAGCCCACATCGTCGAGAGGATTTGAGATTAGACTCTCCTCACTTTTATTTGTTTTTTGGAATCTTTTTAATTCAGTGCCAGGCTACCAGCCCACCACTAAGTTAGACAAAGGAACACAGTCTGTAAGAGGGAGTGCATGGGAATGGGGTCAGATTTAGGTTGAGACAGCAGAGAAATGCCAGACCAATGAATATGGGTGATGTGGTGAAATGTGTAATGAATTTTTCCTCTAGGGAAACTGCAGAAATTAAGAGAAAAGGAGACTTTACAAAACATTTTTTGTAAAATGTAAAATGACACAGAGCCAAAATTTATGACTTAATTGTGAATTTACTCTCTAGATCTCAGGTTTTGTTTTCTTCAACATGGCCCTAATACTCCGTCATAGAAACCTTAACTACAATTGCAAATTGTATCTACAATTGTATCTTGGTTTGTTAGAAGCAGACAGTTACATTGATTAACCATTGCTTGCTAATACTGTAGCACAAATGCTTTGTTTCCTTTCATGGATTAAAATGTCGTGCTGACTTTTTGTAAATCTGAAAACGCCACACCCAAATCACTTGTCACTCTCAGGTAACCAGATTAATTAACGTGTGTCAGGGCAAGAGGAGCGTAATGGGTGGATGATGGACATTCTGGATTAGACTGAGCAGGCTGAGGGGCCTGTCAGGCTTAAGAAGTCATGAGCTGTGGTGCCTTTCCTTTCCAAAACAAACCTTGACAGCTTGTTAAATACCACAGAGACCTGCATGGGCTGAGGGGGTCTATAGGTTTTTCCGCTGATCACCCATGAGACATCTGCATTTCATGAGGCCAGATTGTAGGTTTTACTCCAGGGTCGGCCTTTAATCACAAGCTAAGTCCTCTCTAATGACAGAGTGGCTAGTCGCAGTGAAAACCTCAGCAACACAAACCATGCACAAATCAACCAACTTGATGTTATTACCTGGGTCGTGGTGCTTTGTGCTTTCAGGCACTGCCACTGTGGACATCACGGCATGTGTGAGAGGTTGATCTAGGATAGTGAAGGAGAACATACTGAAAAAGCTTCAGTTTCTTACAAGGAAACTTATCTGCTCAATTATTGCACATGTAAGAATTGTTTGAAAGTCAAGAAGAGCCGCTGTCAGCCATGCTTTTGACTGTGTGGTTCGATTCTATGCAGATCTACAGTTCTGCAGCATCAGCCATTTCAGCACAAGTGTCACTTTTCCTTAATCCAGGTCTATTTGCTGTAATTCACACTGCTGCTCCCTCCCTGCTCCTCCTGGATGTGGTTTGTGGAGCATGTCTGAAAGGTTTTTTACTATTTCATGTATATGCAAAATGCTACAATACTTTAAATTGAGACATTGATTCTAGATGGTGAGATTTAGATAATTCACTTTACTTCACTTCATGTCGAGTGCTTTTATGAGATGTGCAAGTGCTGTGAGGACAGAAGAGAAATAGCTGTACACTATCCAGTGGTGCTGAACAGACACAAACTCAGGTTTATGGTTTAGTCTGATAGCACAACCTGCTGGTGAAACCACTCTTTACTCTTTGCACAATTTACCTTTGAATAAGAGGAACCAAAACAGTAATTTGTTCATTTTCTTTACCTTTCGGGACACACAAGGTATGCAGCAAAGAAATACTCCTAACCACTCCATCCCAGCAACACAAACCTGAAGGAAGAGCAACAGACTTTAGACCCTCCACTCCCTCAAATATGTGCGTCTTTGAAAACTAAGAGGAAACCACAACATATGGAGAAAACCTACACAAACATAGGGCGGACAAAACCATGCAGCGTCCCCAATACATTTTCCAGCATGTCTTTATAAAAAAGTCAAAATGACATTTTCCTTTTTATTAATAATATCCATATATTTATTTGGTTTCTTTGGTGATTTAAAGCAGGAAAAAAACAATTTGATTTTCTTTTTTAAACAAAATTCACAAGCATCCCAGACATTCACATTGTAAAATAAAAAATAAAAAACTGTTATAAATATGAAATTATGTGCACATTAAAGCTGGAACACACAGAGACATTCACAGACGAACAAAACAAAATTTCTCAATTATAAAAACGACTGTAGACACACAACCATCAACACATACAGATTTTTTGTTAATGTTACAAAATAACATTATTGCAGCCGATGGGGCCCTCCATATTCTTTGGTCCACAGTTGGCATTAAAGATGTAAAAATAAAGGAGTATAAATCAGTCATATAGTTTGAACACTTTTATCTTCAATGCATCTCATGTAGACAAGTCTGTGGCTGGTCTCCTGTTGAACATACAATGACGAACATTTGAAGAGCACTGCTGGGTGGGATGACAGCATTGTATTTTACTTGTCAGTACCAACCAAGTAAGGAGGTCTTCAGCAGCTTGAAAATAAATTACATGTATCTGTGCCTAAACAGCCTTTACGTTCAAGTCTTTTTGAGTTTTTCACAAAATACATTCTCTCAATGGCTGATTGTCAGTCGACCAAAAAAGCAGAAAAAAATGTGCAGAATAAAACAAAATGACCAGGAAGACTCTGGGCTACAGCACAGCAGCAACAGATGAGTGATCAGGAACAGTAAACATGCAGTAGCAATGTATCTTAGGTGATGCACTGGACATCCATGAGCAGAAAATACAGGTTAATTGAGCCACACTTCCCTTCTTTCCATTTGAAACTGATGATGGACATTGATTTCCATCAGCAGATAAAGGCTTTGTTGATAGGTTCTTAAAAACTAATTGCAAGGAAAGAAAAAGAAATATAAAATTCTCTGTATAAAAATCTATCAACGCTTTATCTTGATAAGACATCAATTACACACTGTGAAGGCTGCTAATGAAAGGTGGTTATTTAGCTGCCACCACAAAGAAGATCTCCAGCAGTTAACTGAGCACTTTAGTGAACTTTTCCCCAGATATAAGTATATTATTAATCTGGAATCTGAAGGACTAGCAAATATAGAACCATGTTTCAAAACATGAGCTGTGCCTCTGGATTTGAAGACTGAAGACAGACTCTTGTAAAGGCTTAATATTGTATTTATGTGATACAAAACTCCATTAAGGGTACTTGGCATGGAGAGTCGTCGATGCTGATTCCTTCATTTTATCTCTGAGAAGCCAAACTAGGATCTTTAGACAAAGGATAAAGGTTACAGGTTGAAGGAAGCACGACAACATAATCGAGTCCTTTACATGACATAAGTGCTATAATTTCACAAAAGCGTTTTTATGAATAAGGAACACTTATGGTGATTTTAATTAGCACATTTGGTGTACAAATGTATTAGACAACAGTCAATGTATTATTTGCTAAACAATGTCAAGGAAAAAAAACATCCACAGTTTAAAAAAGAATGATGAGAATACTTTTTTGCTTTTCCAGTAGCCAGCTGAAAGTGTTTTTATCCACATTGGCATTGTTGTGAAACAGCGCCCCCTTGATAAGAAAAGTCGTCAGTCAACATCTCTTTAAAAAGGCACTTCATTAGATTCCATCGTCATTGTAAAATGCAACAAAACTGCAGATTTTCCTCTTGGTTTATTTGATGAGTTTTGTCTTTCTTCTCATTTTCCTTAGAGAATCCTTTTCCTCCTTTCACACAAGCGTGTGTTCTCGTCTCCAGGAGGCTGTGCCATGTTGCATGGCGATCAATGTCTCTTCAGCTTATGTTCAGTCCTCTCCCTCCTTCCCCGGTAGAGCGGATTACGAAAGCCGAGGGCCTCATCCGGCCATCTTTTGAAGTTGTTGACGCTGTAGAGACTACTGTGATGATGTCTTCTGTGAAAGGTCCTCTGGTAGCTGGATGCTGTCAGTGAAAAAAAAATTGTTCTTAAACAATGGTAATGTTTGTAAAATCCTGCACAGTAGAAGACACCCAGGCCAATCTATGTCTATTGAGAGCATCACTTGTTACTTACGGTTCATGCAGGTGATTTTAGGGACATCCCATCGTCCATCCCCACGACAACGAATGGTCGGGATGTGCCTCTGAATAAAGCCTGTCCTGCACTGGTACCTCACCAAAGAGTTGATCTCATACCTCTCACGTTTTTTGCCAAAGGTTCGTGCATTCTCCACCAGAGGGGGCTGATTACAAGCCACTGAGAAACACAAGTGACAACAACATTAAAGTGCGGAATTTAACAGTGAAAGGAGAATCCTTTGTGATTTGCTGAATAATTTATGGAATGTTTCCATTCAGGAATGAAAGAGATGTTGTTACCTGTGCCCTTCTTGCAGGTGAAGGTGAGGTGGTAGTTGCATGGAACGTCATTCCACTGGCCATCCTCGTGCCAGATCATCACTACGCAGTCCTCGCCCGCGGAGAAAAAGCTGTCAGGCTGGTTAGGCCTCCAGTTTTCATATTGCTGGAATAAGACCAGAGTGCAAGGAGTTAAACATGATGACGATTCTATGATCTTTAGTGGTTCTCAATTTTTTCTCAGCTAAGAACAGACAACAAAATCCCCTCACGTATGTCCCTTTGACACAGTCTGTATTTTTCACACTTTGACAGAACAACACAAGAGAGAAAAATATTAAATGTTGTATGTATTCAATATACTTTCAACATGTCGACACAGATGATCCCTATATCATGATCATTTTAATGGATACTTTTGGAAACTACTTTTCATGAACCCTCTGGACACGGACTCCAATTTGAGAACCACTGCTTTAAAGTATATTTTCTTCTATTTAATTAAAGCCATCATAAAATGTAACACCTCTACACCTGTCATATATATAAATTATATTATTTTAGTATTGCTCTTCAATCATTGTAATCTCCTCTTGGAGTAGCAGTTACCAATTATTTATATTTAGCCTGATAAAGTGCATGATGATTCAGTGAATGTATTATTCTCCGTCTATCGATGTGATCCCAACAGTAGAGATCCTGGGCTGCTCTGGCAGCTTCATCAGTGAGATTTTACTTGATGGCCACAAGAGGGAGGAACTGTATCTTTCCAGGAGCCAACATAAACCCTGCAACTATGATATCATTGTATTTCTGAGGGACCAATGCAGGGTCGGTATCATTAACAAAAGACAGAGAAACCATATATTATATTTATATCATTAAGTCACAACATGTTCATAAATAATAGGAGTAGGATTTTTTCAGGTTCCTAAAAAATCATTTAGTTTACGCACTGATGGGACTTTATATACTTGGTATATACTATGATCAATATCCATGTTACATGCATGTTAAATTATCTATGGTTTTGTGATCGTAGACATACATACGTATTATGTCATTTCATCACACACTCTGCATACCTAGAATTACACAGGTAATTTTGCAGTCACAAAATTCCAGACACACAGATGCGCATTTAACATACATGTACAGTATACACACAGCTGTAGTGCTGGAACTGATGCTACCTGTAGTCTTTCAGCGCATTCTAGGTTCAAACAGTTTCTTCAAAGCTGTGACCCCCCCAAACTCCTCCAATCATGGCCCGGGGCTCCGCTACCCTGTCATTATGCTTAACAAACACACATACTGACTTCCTGCTCTGCTCACTTCAAGTTAACAAATAGGCGACCCATCAGCTGCACAGCAGGCCTACATCCTCATCAAAATAATCAAACAAACTTTCATCACTCACAGAAACATACACACATCCAAAGATACTGCAACTTGGGTGTTTCGGGGCTCTCTTGTTAAGAACCAATTATTATGGTGTGATTATGAAACTACACCTCAAAAATTTCTTATACCATCAATATCACGCATTTAGTAGTCTTATATATTATACTATAATCCACTGGAGGTGATCACCCACCAGGACCCCCTGGGATTCCATGCAGTTTGTTTTTCTTTCTGAAGCTGAGCACAGGTGCTATCCATCTGTATCTTCCTGATGGCCCTTCACCCGGGTGGCAGCCTGCTGGCTGGGCCTCCTGATGTGTGTAGGGTCAAAGGGAGTCCATACCTGTCTACGCCTGCCAAACTCCCCTCTACACAGCGTAGCTCACTCCCCCATCACCCCTCAATCTCTCAGCTGAGCAAGGATCTCCATAGGCGGTCTGAACTTATCTTTTAACCCCTAGGCTGTCTCTATGCTTCCCGTATCTCTGGTCCTGGAACGATTATCTTTGAAGTGAGGACATCAGTCTGTACATGGATGCACATAGTAATTAGTTACTTCCCTTCTTATGGGGATGTCCTCAGCAGCTACAACAACTATACCAATCACACCCCTGTGTGTTGTTGTATAAACACTACATTTGTGAGCAGTTTTTCTCTTGGGCATATTCTTCTACATTAAATTGTCATCTTCTTTGTTGCAGCTGCTTCTCTACTTGTGCTGGACTCACAGTGACTAACAGGATTCAGTGGTGCCTTACATCATCAAATTTATTGGCACAGCGGTCACCCACCAGTGTGTATGAGAGCAGACGAGAGTGCGTCATGAGAAAGCCTTCACAGGCCTTGAAAAGAACAACTCTCCTAAGATGCCTGTATCTGTCATCAGCATCACTTCCAAATATTTACTCTGTCTCTGTGCCATGTTTGTTGAGACAAAAATATGTGAGAAAACAACCTATCTTACCATGGGCCTGCCGTCAGTCCAGCGGAAGTCGCTGTCAAACATCTTATCATTCAGGCCAATCCACTGGTAGTCCTGTCCAAGACCTGCCAGACAGAGTAGAGTGAGACACAGCAGATAACGGCTCCCTGTTGCCATATGTCCTTTTTAGGAGGAAACAGGAGATTTCCAACGTCTGAATCATTCCCCTGCATTTTACAGTGTCCTGCGCATCCACCAATGAGTATTTGATGTGACATTAACAGAGAATTTTTATTATTTCAATCTTGTCATATGGGGCTTTAACTTACGGTTGACATACTGTTGCTCCTCGTGGGAAAGGATGCTGGTGAGATGAGCCCCCTGCATGCGGCACTCTCTCTCTGCTGTGTCCCAGTTTCTCCTCTGGGGAAAGTACTTGTAGCAGTGGCCCTGGAACTTATGCCAGCCATAGTCACAGACTTCTGTATCTGGTGGACGAGAAAGCGGGAGAGACAATGAGGCATACTGGAAGAACAGATTTGCCACCGATCAACAGACATGAAATGCATTAACATATTTAAAGGACGATAAGCTTTTAGCTATTTCTCTCATTTATCTCACCAACTTGACACCAGCACTATAAGACAGTGGAAGAAAACAATAAGGAAAACTTCTGAGTGCCATTTTAAACTCTAAAGTATGATTATTATGCTTAAGTAGACAATCTTCTCAGATTATACTATTATCAAATTCATGCAGCCTGAGCCATGGATTTGTAAACAGGTCGTATTTAAGTCAAACCCTAAAGGCTTTTCTCATCCACACCTAACTGTCATTTTTACCCATTTGATGGTGGCTGTGGGTCCAAACTTTACTCTCTGTTTGTCCCTCCCCTCCTTAATACTTGATCAGAAAACTAAATGATAAAAACAGAGGCAGAATCTTTCTCTGGATCGTTCCCCTTTAAATTACGTTTTCTCCCTTTCCTTTGCCAAAACTTTTTAAGAAGGCAGCTGTGACTGAGTACACAGAATGGGCGTGAGTCACTGATGAGGGATCCTCATTTAGGGTGTAGACACTGAGAAACCAGCCAAGGCAGATGATTCTTGGAGTTCAACACGCTTGGGATGAAAGTAGGGTGCAACTCCAAAGCTAAAGTAAAATTATAGAGGTATGGGAACTTCCAAATAAATTCTTTCACTATACACCAATAATGGCTTGTGTACAGTAGATAAAGTTAGTCAGTAAACACTCAAGAGCGCATAGGATTTCTAATCTGTTTGTCTTATACTAGATGGAAATGTCAAGTGTGCTTGGAGAAATTCAAGTATTATCAGACATTACAGAGCTCTGGGCAACACTAAATAGAGATGGTAAATATTGATAGTAGTGATGGGTGATTGGTGTTTATTTTTCAATTGATTAATGCCCACGAGAAACCTAAGACAATACTCGGCTGTATATAGCTGAACTGAATTGTATATGTGATATGTCTAAAATGTTAATTATCCTTTCTATCTTATTTTCCAAGGAATACAGTGATTACAAGGATTACACTGTGTTCTTTTATCTTATAGAAAACTAATTTAAGCTCTACCCAATGTAGATGAATGGCTAGAACCATTTACAGGACTAATTAAATAAAAAGCTTTTATTATTCTAAAAAAGAACACTCAAATACTTTATGGAGAGAATCCAACAAATTAATCACAAACATACCCTCTTCACAATACAGCCCAGAGTAGCTTGGGAGGCACACACATATGAAGGAAGCCAGCCCATCTACACATGTGCCTCCGTTGCGGCAAGGATTTGACTGGCACTCATCAATATCTGCATAAGAAAGGCATGCGATTAAAAATCAGACATTGGCAAAACCAATCTGTGTCCCTAAGACAGTAAAAAATTATCTTAGTGCTTCTTGGATGAAAATTGAATGCAGTTAGAGGAATTATTGGTGCACAATGTCCTACCTGTCTCACAGCGATCACCATTGTACCCAGGAGGACAGCTACAAGTATAGAGGCTGCCAATTTTGTGGCAAGATCCCCCGTTCAAACAAACATCCTTTGTACATGAATGAATTCCTGTTAAGAGATTTAAAGAAGCAAAATAAAAGTTGTTTCAAAAATAAATTAATTTTGAGCTGATGCATTGGTTGTATTTGAATGAAAGCCATTTGAAAAAAACATACCTGGTATCTCAACAGTCTCGCCAACAACAGTGTGGCCCAAATCAACTCTTGCATCTGGCTCAGCAGTTGATTCTTTCCCTTTTAGTGGTGGTTCAACCTCAATAAATGATGGAAGTGCAGTTGAGTCATTGTCCAGTTTCTCATCTTCATCATGAAAAGATGATGGAGAGGTAGCTGCAGATTGAACTGACACTGACTGGCTTTGTGGCTGAGCTGTTGACATTGGTGTGAGGTCTGAATGGGTCCTTGTGGACATTTCAGGAGTAGAAGAGACATCTCCCTCAAATTTGTCCACAACTTCCTCCTTCCCAGAGGTGTTATCAACATCAGCAGACTCCACCTTTGATGCTGTGGAAGCATCTACCTTGAATACAGTCTGGATTTCATTTGGGGACAGAGACTGTTCCTCTATACTGTCAATCTTTGGTTTCTTTGTAGCCATGAACTCTTCAGACACACTTTCAGACTTGTCAGAGACACTTTCAGTCTCATTGCTGAGGACGAAAGGAGATTTAGTTATTGCTGATAGAAGGCTACCATCCATCGTGATGGGGCTTTCTGTGGTCATGTTTTCTTCTGAGCTGCTGCTGCTTTCTGAACTCTCAGAACTAGAGGATGATGCTGCACTGATAGGTCCGGATGCAGAAGATAAGACAGTGATAGCTACTGTTACTACAGGTGATTGAGTTGCCTTTTCTCTTGAGCTACTTTCAGTATTGCTCACTGAGTCAACAAGTGTACTCTGAGATAGTTGAGAAACAGGCGGTGGTGTTGTAATGGACATTGCTACTTCTTTTGTTGTTGCAGTTTCATTATGTCGTGGAACAGATTCAACTAAAAAGGGGTCATAAAATGCCTCATAATCTGGGGTTGGATAAACATCATCTGGAGATGGCTTTGTCTTTGCATCAATTGAGACTTGGTCAGGAGTGGGTTCAACTGTCCCTTTTCCAGTTGAGGAAGATACGGCTTCAGCCACTGAAGAAGTTGTTTCACGACTTTCAAAAATTGGATGAGTGGTGGTCAGTGACAAATCCTGGGAGGAAAGATCAGTGTTAGGTCGGTGTGTTAGCGTGATCTCTGACTTGACTTGTTCAAATGATTCCTGAGGAGTTGTTAGGTGCTGTACAGGGGAAACTGTTGTAGCAAAATGGACCAATACATCAGACTGTGATGGCATTGATGCTGAAAGGACATCTGAAGTAGGTTCCATTGAAATGTGTTCAGCGGAGATTGTGGCAACCAGTACTTCAGTGTCTGGGCTTGTAGAGATTTCAGCAACATATGTAACATCAGTGGGTAGAGGTGTTCTTGTTAGGTCTGAATCTTGTGTCCCCTCATGTTCAGGACCTGTTGATCCTGACTCAAAAGAAGTTTGTGTCTTAGTTGATTCGACAGTGCTGGCCACAGCGATCAAGCTCTCAGCTGACTTCTGACCTGAAGTTTGTTCATATGCAGATGATCCTGTCTTATTAGTTTGGGTGTTTTCAATCTCAGATGTTAAATTACTAGTGATACTATCTATCTTGATAGTAGCAGACAGGAATGAATGAGTTGGAGTGACAGAGTCGACAGAGTCAGAATCAAAGCTATCGGGGGTCTTGTCACTTGAACCATCCTCCGGTGAAATTATAATTTTCGTTTCTGTTGATTCAGAGATCTCCTCACTCTCTGATGATGTCTTTTCATTACTTGACTCAGCAGTTGTTTCCTTAATGACTGGGTGGGTAGGGGCAGTCTGTTCACTGTGTCCTGTCACCATTTTTGGTGTTGGTGATGATGTCACTTCAGAGGCCTTTTTATCGGTAACATCTGATATGGATGTCACTAATGAAGCCTCAGTGCTGAAAAGTGAAGAGGTAGTTTGGGATAGTGTCTCTTTTGTTTGCTTTGAAGTTGAAACAGTTGAACTCTTTGATGTTTGTTCTTTGGGTTTTGCAGATTTGTCAGTTGCAGTTTCTGGAGTCATGGATTCAACCCCAGACGGTTCTGTCCCTATAGAATCTAATATTTCATCAGTAGATGGAGAAGTTGTAACAGCATAAGTAGATGTTTCCCTGACTTCGGTGACTTGATCTGAGCTCCCTTCAGCATCAGTTGGAACTTCTTTAGTCACAGGTGCTTGGACTGGTGGTTCAACTGACTTATCTTCCAGTGATGTGGCTTTAACTCCAGTTTGGAGAGTTACATAACTAGATTCAAAGCGTTCGCTAGACTGCTCAGTGGGCAATAATGGGCTGGTTGTGGTCAACTCAGTTTTCCCGGAGGATATGTCAGTGTGGGGATAATGAGTGAATGCAACCTCAGACCTTGACTGTAGGAAGGTCACCTCAGGTGTTGTTGTATCTGGGACAAAAGTGGTGACAAACTGAATAGTCACATCAGGCTCTGAAGTGTTTTGTAGAGAAGAAACTGTTGATGACGAAACTGATTCTTCTGTAGCCATAGAGGTGATGTGATCTCTTGTGCTCTCTTCATTTGCTGGGGTTGATCTTACTCCATCGATTTGTTTCTCAGTGCTGATCATAGGGGATATTGGAGTGCTTACCATCTTTTCACTCTCAGATGTCATTGTCTCAGGTGATGCAGTTGTGGCATCTACAATCTCTACTCCAGAGCTCACCATATCTGCACCCTCTGTGATACTTGCCACTGAATATGTATCAGTGCTGTGGGGAGGCGATAATGTTGCTGTGGATAGCATTTGGCCCATTTGTATTGTACTGTGCACAGTAACATCTGAGACAGAAATGACTGAGGGTTTTAATGTGCTATTAAGGGACGAGGAGCTACTTGCTAGTGGCTCTGAAACCTCTCCTGTCTCAGTTCCAGGTGAAGTTGGAGATATTTGTTCTGCTGTTGTCATACCCTCACCTGAAATCTCTTCATCCACATCAGAGGCAGCAGTTGCTTCCTCAGTGCTGAACAGGGAGGAAACAGTGGATGTCACTAGTGTTTTAGATGTTGTCCATTCATTTGCAGAGGACGCTACAGTTATGTGTGGGGTATCCACCCTAGAGCCTTCCTCAAAGTCATCGGTACTTGAAGATTTATCATCAGATGCTTCACTGGTTGTTTTCAGAGTACCAGTTTCGGTGGACACTGGTGTGTGTGGTGTTACTGAAGATGCAGTGGCTTGGGTTGAAATGGATGAGCTTAAAGATTCAACAGTCATATCAATACTCGTGGCTGTTATTATTGTGGGTGATGTGGGCATGGATTCTTGTTTTTCATCTGTGCTGACCATATACTCCTCACTGGACACTGCATAGACGCAGTTGTCTGTTGAATCAGGTAAGGTTTGAAAAGGCAAAGCTGAGGATGTGGCAATTTCCATTATAGAATCAGTGACATTATCAGTGGTGTCCTCTCTTGATATATCATCCTCCAACAGCTCTGTAACTGGTTTGGTGTGAGTCTCAATGGGGGAAACCGTTTGGGGTGTTGTTAAACCATACATTTCTTCAGAGCTTGTGAACACAGTGGTAGCTGGGGTGGCCTGTAGTGATGATGTGAGTGTCTCTTCAGTCGATGTCTCCATAGCAGAAACATGTACCGTAGATGATGGCTTTGAAGTCGACTGTGAGTATTCAAAAGATGTTGAATCCAATGACAAACCAGTGGCTGGGGTTGCATGTGGTGTAACTGGTGAAGAGGTGAAGAAAGTGGCACTATCAGTTCCTGAACCCTCCATTTCTGTTACCTCCAGTGTTTGTGTCATTGAAACTGCTGTGACACCTCCAGCTTCCTCTGTCTGGATGGTTGGGGGAACTGAAGAGGAGGGTACCATGGAGATTGTATCTGCATCAATGATAGCATCATCTTTGGTGATAAGCTCAGGAGTGGGGGTGCCTTCCTTCATACTGTCTGTCACTGCAGAGAACAGCTCATCTTCATTTGTTGCATCCTCTGTGAATATGATGGTTGTGCTGGGTAATGGTTTAGACACATGCAAGACCATTGTAGGCATTTGCACGGTTGAGTCAGTCTGGGGTTGGCTGCTACTGGGCGTAATGATCACCACCTGTTGGTCAGTAATGTTGTGATATATAATAGAGGGAATTGGACTGGACACTGCTGTGGGTCCATCTTGCTCATGTTCTCTGCTGAAGCTTACTGTGGTGAAGTCAATTCTGGTGTGATCACTAACTGAGGCTCCAATTGTGTGAGGGGACATAGTTGTATAGGAAGACTTTGTTGTGTGCTCAGCAGCAGTAACTTCTTCTCCAATGCCTGATGCAGGAGGCTCTGTTGCTTTAGAAGTGTAGGGGGTATCCGGGGTGATTTCGGCCTCCTGTGAGGAAACCTGTTCATCAGAGGTTGGTGTGACTGAAACAAAGGTTTCAGTTTCACCTGTTGCTTCTCCAAATGTGACGCTCTCAATCCCTGATGGCTTTACTGTGAACACCTCAGTGGTTTGGTCACCAGAAGACCCCTCTTCTGTCACAGGAAAATCTGGAGCTTGTTTTGATTCATCAGTTGTAGAGAGAGACGTTTCAGCTGACTGGGTAGGTCTGTTAATAAACGCTGCTGTAATATTTTGCTTCTCAGTGCTGTAGAGAGAAGTTGATGTTGATGTTATTGGTTTATCTGTGGTAAACAGGGAAGATGCTGTACTCTTTGCACTATCAGGAGACTCTGTGCTATACACAGCTGAAGATGATATATAAGATCTCTCAGAGAACATATCAGTTGAGCTGCTCTGGACTGTTGAAGTGTGCTTTTCTGTGCTGTAAAGAGAAGAGACTGTGGTGCCAGTAAGTGTTTGTGCGATAGTATCGTCAGTTGATGTATTTTTTGTTTGGTCACTTGAGCTCTCTTCTGCGACAGCAACAGTACTAGAGGACACTGAAATTTCCTTTGTAGCTACTACTGTAATGGACATGTGTGGAG